CAGCTGGTTTTGGTCGTACATGAGTAGGGTACATTCCCCTAAAGTTTCAGCTTTCTAGCTCTCGTTTCCGGGTTAATGATTTTTCCGCCAAAATTTTCACGTGTCCGTAGGTAGGGTCTGGATGTTCCTAAACATCTGATTTTGGTCGTACATGAGAAAGGAACATTACTTTAAATTTTCGGCCTCCTAGCTTTTCTCGTTCCCGGATTAGTGATTTCCCCGCCAAAACTTCTACGTGCTCGTACGTAAGTCCCGGGCAGTCCTAAGCAGCTGAATATGAAATCTTTTAGTTATGGATGAGTACGGAACATTCTCCTAAAGTTTCAGCTTTCTAGCTTTTCTCTTTCCCGAATTAGCACTTTTCCTGTCAAGATTTTCACGTGCCTGTACTTAAGCCCCAAGCAGTCCTGGCGAGCTGGATTTGAAATCTTTTTGTCATACACGGGTAGAGAATATTCCCCCAAGGCTTCAGCATTTTAGCTTTTCTCGTTCCCGAGTTAGCAACTTTCCCGCCAAAACTTCCACGTGCTCGTACGCGAGACCCAGACGTGCGTGAGTCCGCTGTCCTGGGGTGGCACTTGGCTGGGGAACACACCAGCAAAAATTTCAGCTTCAAAGCTTGCGTGATTGGCGAGTTGAAATATCCGGACAGACGAACACACACATACACGCACAAACGTAGGTACACGCACGCACGCACGCACACACACACACACACACATTGATAGGGTCGTAGCAACATGCGTTTTTGCTGCCTGTTGCAGCGCTCTAGCGCTGCAGGGCAAAAACGCATAAAAAGGTGTCATGTCAGCCATGAAATATGTCGACAGGTTTTGCTTTCGAATCTTTCAGAGCATTCTTTATTTATCTGATGGTTATGCGTTTTTGCATACATGCAAATGCGAAAACTTATACTGCGATGACCCCCAGTGTGTGTGTCTGTGTGTGTGTATGTGTACGTCTGTTCGGGTATTTCACCTCAGCACCCAAGCAAGCTCCGGCGCCAAAATTTTGCCGATGGGTTCCTCAGCCTAGTGCCACCCCAGAAACGCAGTGCCAACCCTCACGCACGCCTAGACCCCGCGTTCGAGAGGGTGAAAGTTTTGGCGGGAAAATCGCTAACTAGAAAGCTGAAATTTTGAGGTTATGTTTCCCGTCCATATGGAACTCAGACTTCAAATTCAGCCTCTAGGTGTGCGTAGTACCCTTGTATGGCCCTGTGAGGGTTCCTGGCGCATAGTCGCTGACATGGGAACCAGGAAAGTTGGGAGGCTGAAATTTTTAAGAAATGTTCGCAGCGTATGTGCAACTTAAAGTCATCGAACTCAGACCCCAGGCTTGCGTAGTTCTCACGGACGGCCCCATAAAATTTTTTGGCGGGAAAGCGGCTAATTCGAGAGCCAGGAAAGCTAGGAGGCTGAAATTTTCAGGGAGTATTCCCAGCACATGTAGAACTTAAAATTATCGGATTCAGCCCCCAAACGTACGTTGTTATCACGTACGGCCCCGCGAAATTTTTTGGCAGAAAAGTGGCTAAGTCGGGAACCAGGAAAGCTGGGAGGCTCAAATTTTCAGGGAATGTTCCTAGCTCATGCACAGCAAAAATTTATCTGATTCAGTCTTCAAGCATTCGTGGTTCTCTCGTATGATCCCGTAAAATTTTTTGGCGGAG